GAGGGAGGGAGGGGTGACAGGGAGAGTACGAGAGAGAAGGCGGGAGGGAGAGAGAGCGTGCACGAGAGAGAAAAACAGCTTGTGCGGCAAGGAACGAACGAGCATGAGAGACGCTGAGCAAGTGCGCACACACAAGACAGTGCACATCAGTGTGCATGCCTACGTGCGAGACCGCATGTGCACGAGTACGCGAGTGTGCGCACGTGGATGTGTGAGTATGTGTAAGTGCACTCAGGGTAAGGCGATCTGAGGTCAGGGTTGGGTCTCAGACACTGCAGTTGCTGACGCAGTGGGACGGAGGGCTGTAAACGGCTATCTCAGGTGTTTATGACACACTAAAGTCCTGAGCTGACAGCCTTCCAAATGAATGGTAACTGGCTTGTCATTATATTGTAAAACCCGAGCCAAGGGTCAGAAGTCGATAAGATTTCCACAACTCATCGCTCTCGCAATGCAAAGTCCACTGGTAAAACTCCCAACACGCAGTCAAAAATCCCTCAACATCCTCATTACTCCCTCGAGGCTCCCAAAAATCCCTCCTGAAACATCCTCGGGCATTTATCCCCAACCCCTTACCCCCGTCTCTCTCCCCAAGACATCCTTTAGAAGCAGACCCCATTTGACTGGAGCGCTTGGGTCGGCTGGACCCTGATGCACCTTGTGACTGGGGGAAGGAAGTCCAAGTCTGACTGACGCTCGTCAGGAAACGCTTTACTTCGCGAGATGCGGGAGTTGAAGAGGGTAAAGACAACAATTCCTCCGGGCATTAGGAGGAGTGAGGTTTGGGGAGGGATACCTTGCTGGTGTCCTGCAGTTGATGTAGAGAATAGTTGCGGAAGTAGGCCATTCCAGCTCACACCACCATTCGATCGCTCAAGCTCAGTCTCACGCCCGCTTTCTCTCCATACGCCTTGATTCCTTTAGCTGCAAAGGCCACATCCAGCTCCCTTTTGAATATATCTAACAAATTGTACCCCCCCACACCCAACAGCTTCCAACGGGAGAGAATTCCAACTTTCCTCATCTCAGTGCTGAATGGCATACCCCTTGTTCTTGGGCTGTGACCCCTTCGTTCTGGACTTTCCTGACATCAGGAATTTTCTTTCCCCATTTAGCCTGTCTGGTCACAGACGCACAGCCCAGAAACAGACCCTTCGGCCCAACGCATCTGTGACGACCCAGATATCCTAAATTAATCTAGTCCCATTTGCCAGCGTTTGGCCCCTATCCCTCTAAACCCTTCCTTATCCACGTCCCCATCCAGATGCCTTTTAAATGTTGTCATTGTACCAGCCCCCACCCACTTCCTCTGGCAGCTCGTTCCATACACGCACCACTCTCTGCGTGAAAAAGCTGCCCCTCAGGTCCCTTTCCCCCTCTCACCTTAAACCTATGCCCCTCTAGTTTTGGACTCCCGTACTCTGGGGGAAAAAGACCTTGGCTATTCACCCCATCCATACCCCTCATGATTTTATAAACCTCTATAAGGTCACCCCCTCAGCCTCCAACTCTCCAGGGAAAATAGCCCCCAGCCTCTCCCTGTAGCTCAAACCCTCCAAACCGAGCAACATATTTGTAAATCTTTTCTGAACCCTTTCAAGTTTCATAACGTCCTTCCTGTAGCAGGGAGATCGGGATTGAACACAGTATTCCAAAAGTGCCCTCACCAATACGGCCGCGACATGACCCTCCCGACTCCGACACTCAACGCACTGACCAATAAAAGCAAGCGTCCCAAACCCCTTCTTCACCGCCCTGTCTACCTGCGACTCCACTTTCAAGGAACTATGTACCTGCTTCCCAAGGTCTCTTTGTTCAGCAACACTCCCCAGGACCTTATACCGTTAAGTGTATAAATCCTGCCCTGTTTTACCCACTTCACTGCCCTGTCTACCTGCGACTTTCAGGGAAATATGAACCTGCACTCGTGAGGATTTTGTGCACTTCTACGAGATCCCACTCAGCGGCCCGACTGCTCTAAACTCCAGCGAGTCGAAGCCCAGTCTATCCGTTTTCCCTCATACGTCAGTCCCGCCATCCCGTGAATCTGTCTGGTGAGCCTTCGCCGGGCTCCCTCAATAGCAAGAATGTCCCTTCCTCAGACCGGGAGACCAAAACTGCAGACAATACTCAATGCGTGACCTTGCCAAGGCCCTGCATGACATAGGCTCGGACACACTGTATCGGTGCTGCAGCAACTCCCTGTGGGACCTTTCTGTGCGCAAGCAGTGTGCACCCTGGGGAATTCCATCAAGGAATTCCAATAACGAAGAAAATCAAACCCCAAACAAATCTGCATCAGAACCCCAAGGTCAAACAAACATTTAATGGGCATGTGTTTTTTTATTTAAAAGAAAAGAAACCTCCCCATACTTTCTGTGACAGGTAAGCTTTGAAATTCCCAGTTCCTTCCTTTGGAGAACGAGGTCAGGATGGTCTCTGAGTCCGCAGTGGGACAGAATCCAGAAAAGAAATACTTCGAAACTGTACAGCAGACAGTGTACAAAACACATTCCCCACCTCCACCGCCACCAAACCCCCAGTGAATGGGCTGGAATAGAGCCCTACAAATCTGTCGGCAAAATCCTGGTGCCTCTGTGATATCAGGACAGTCGAGGGAGGCTGCAAGGGGTCAGGAGGTATGGCTAGAAGAAAGGGTGGCGGGGGAAAGAGAAGCGGGCACGAGAGTGAACGAGAATGGGAATGACAACAAAACCTCACTAATGCTCAGTGTACTTGGAAACTCACACAAGAGGAGTCGGAGCGAACTGACCACCTCACCCAGCACCCCCGGCACCCCGCCCAACTCCATTCCACTCAGTAGCAGTGACCAGACATATCCTGCCCACTTGTTCAGTTAAAGAACAACAAAGAGAAAACAAAGTGTACAGTACACAAAGTAAAACACGACACCCAGACAGAGAAGCAGCTCCAAGGTGATAGGTAATAAAGCTATGGGTCGGGACAGAACGAGAGCAGGCAGGCTGTAGAGTCCTGTCAGGTGCCCGTGGGGTGACCGTCACTGTCACCCCACCCTCCAGCCAAAAGCCTCCGCCGTCAGCAGAATCTATTCTTCCTTCTTCAGCTTCGAGTGATCCATCGCCGACTGG